ATTGGATTTACATATAAATATATAGGATTTAAACATTTAATATTTTATCAAGGGATGCGTAAAAAGGGTAGCAATAAGAAACGAAAAAATGTAGGTAAAAGCGCCGAGAGATTTGATAACGACGAAAATGATGATATCGATGAAGCGAAAAATAAAGAGGAAAAGCTGTAACAGTTCAGCGATCAAAATTATCTTTCGTTTATTCATTAATTACATTAAATAAATCAGTGTGAAATTAATTACTTTCATATCCCACAAGTAGTTTGGTAGTTTAAGTTTGTAAGTATGTATTGTGTGTAATATGATGATTTGGGAAAATCAATTTGGGAAAATGAATTCATATATACCTCGTGACTTCTAGAATTCCACTTATATGGGTGGCGAAAACAGTGATCGTTCCTTCCGAGCATATCATCGTTAATAAACCATGCATTGTTGACAATATGATGTGCATACAAACGAGATTAGTCTGAGGGCTTTTTTCATTGTAAAAGAATCCCAGAAGATATAGAAAACGAATCTGGATATCTGATGGCAGGAACGTGGAAGTTCCTAACGTACCAATTACACATAACGATCCTGTACACGTCAAAGCTATAATTCGGAATAAAGTGCTCTAATCAAATAATTTACAGAAGTATTTCGGTAACGATAGAGTGTCGAACAATCTACCGCAGTGCAATCCATAAAATTAGAAATGTTGTTCTATACGTTCGACTCATAGCATAACTTATATTTTATTACTTATATTTTAAGTGTGACAAGCTGCTCACTGTTCAACAAATTGATACCTTTTTTTTGTCTTATAATAACCACTGGATGATTTTTGTAGAACATTACTTCCCAAACGTGAATCCGAAAATCGAATTGCTGTATCACACACACACACACACACGCGCGCGCGCGCGCGCGCGCGCATCTTCAGTTTACAAAGAACACGAGATTTTGTAAAAGCCTGCGATTTTGAGCAAAAGAATTAAATAAAGAAATACAGAAATTTCTCCCGGAAATGCCAAATTTCGGATTACTGTGAATTTCCCTGTGCTAGTTCTACGCCTCGATCAAACATGCGATGCGGCATGAGTTAGATAAGAAAAATCGCGGAACTACAAGGTACGTGACTGTCGAATCGTGGCATGTGGTCTCCGAATTGCCTTCGAATCGTGGCAAAAGATTATAAATGAAAAAGTTCAGTCATCGTTTCTATTCTAACATGACTATCTATTCATATTAATGTACACCGGGATGCTGGCCACTGCCTTTTTTTACCGGCTGCCCCGAGTTTCTATATAAATTAATAAAGCGTCTATTATCGAATTAAAAATCTGCTGTAGCATTTTTATTATTAGAGTTTAATAAATGAGAGAGTTTAATAAATGAGAGAGTTTAATAGAGAGTTTAAATAGAGTTTAAGTAGAGTTTAAATTAGAGTTTAATAATAGAGTTTAATAATTAATACATTTATATAAATATATTATATAAATTTCAGACTGTAACAGTAATTTGGTTTTCGGATTCGTCTTCCGGAAATGACGCTCTACAATCTACAAGAATCATCCAGCGGTTATTAGAAGGCAAAATGTGTACGTTGGACAGTGGCTGTCAGTGAAAGATTTAGCTATATGTCTGTTCAGTTTACGATAATCTTTATATAAAATGTTTAATCATTGTTTCATTTCGACAATACTGTAATCGTGTGGTTGGATAGTATTTTTTGTGACGTCGTCTAAACTGGTTGCCAAATGTGATTACCGATGTATACCATCAGGATGCGTTTCGCCACTATAGAATCCTTCAATAACATCTCCACTTCGATAGGATCCTCCAGCATTGTGTAATCGCTTTGCATATTGTCGAGCACGAATTTCGTCTGGAGTTATGTTAAAAAAAAAAATGGTAAAATCATTAGAATTAGATTTAATAATTAGGTAAACGTTATCTGTTTAAGAAGCAGGAATGGGACGAAAGGGAAACGTATTGCAATTACGATGTTCGACTTTTAACGACTTTTCGACTTTTAGTTTTTGAGAAAATTGTTTTTTAAAAAGTCGCGAATTTTCAACTCTGTAGACGCCTTTGGATAGAGTTAAAAAAAAAGAGCAAGTAATTATTGTCACCACGTTTTGTTGTAGTCAAATAATTATCCTTCCTGTGCCACCGCTTTTTTAATTATTTTATTTTATTTATTATTATTTTTTTAATTATTTTGATACCTTGTCCTTTTCATCCCACGCCACACTACAACTAAAACGTCAGTGTCATGTTCTGCTACTTACCGTCGGGAAAGTCAAAACAGATGTAAAGTATCGTATAAAATAAAGTAATAGTTGAGCGCCGAATGATAACGTCACAATTATTTCGTTCAGCGACATTTTCACATTTTTAATCGTCGATACCTGAAAAATATTTTATTCACTTTTCACAAAAAAAAAAAAAAATAAAAGAACAATGCAGATAATCTGTTGCCCTGTTGTCGGACATCAACAACGATTCTTCTTGGGTACTATTTTTCAAACATTACGACAACCTTTCTCATTGTTGCGTGACTGTCGCATTTCTTAATATTTAGTACAGTATTATTCGAAATTATGTTAACATTACAAATATATTTCTCGTTTTACCTAAATTTTACTTTAGATAGCAAAAACAGCTTTTCATAATGTAGAGTATCTTTGTAGTTGGTTGCAATATTTATTTTGCAACCGGACTTTGCAAAAAGAATCGTAATTTTCGTCACTTTCTGTTTCAGTAACCACTTTTTGGGGGGTAGCAATCCCTTCTTTTTTCTTGCCCACACGACAAGAATTGTGAAAAATAAATAAACAAATCCCCACGTCCTGTATTCACCGATTGTTAGTAACGGATTTAAAAATACTGCACAATTATGGGACATAATTAAAAGAATAATTCGTTGAATCTTCATCACCTGGCTCACCATACAACCGAATATAATCAGAGTGATAGCGATTCTATGAATCTTCGTTGAAATCGAATTGTCATAGGGCCAGAGGCCGGATAGGCACATCACAGACTGATAAATTTTGTAGTTTCCTTGAAAGACCTCCATACCAGCCGATGCTAAGGAACGTCTGCGCCAAGATTCTAATGTTTCATCTACCTACACCTCGGCAGCATGCTTTATTCATGCTATCTAAATTTTCTGACAGCTCGATTGTCTTTCGAAATTGACAGTAATTTGCAAAATACAGAATTCCGTTCGGGACCGATCGATTTGATTAGCGGACTCGAGAAAATGTCGGGAGACTATAGAATATTAAAGTCTGCGTTTTCGCGTTCTCCACGGTGTCTCTGTCGCCTTCTTTTGAGGATAAACAAATATACGGAAAACTTTCTTTCTCTAATAAATTGGATCTTTGTGGAAAAACAATATTCGCTTATCCATCGTTATCTCTTTTCGACAACAAATCCTTCGGCACGATTATTGCGAATCGTGTGCTTTTTTCTTTTTTTTTTATTGGTCGTCGATCTTGGAAGCTATATTTATGATCGACAGCGACGATTGTCACATAAATTGCGATTGGAATTATTGATGGGTGCCTGTAAGTGCAGTATTCAGGGAATCAATAATTTAACGTACACGCAATATAATGTGTGCGTGCGTGTCCGTGTAAAATGTTGACACAAGTGGGAACATGTATGTTCATCGAAAGTACAAGTTCTGTTCTAAAAGCAAATAGAATATAGTATGTTGGCACAAAAAGAATCATCAGAGAAAGCAAGTACATATGTATAATTTATCTGTATAAATCAACCAGTTTATTAACTGTATAGTGAATCGATTAATTTGTTAAGAAATGCGCACTTTATTCTTATATCGCATAGTTTTTGATCTCATTATGAGCGTAGCACGTAAATCACTGACGTAAGGAAGACCGAGATCAACAATTACAATTCGATTTTATACTACAATTACGCAAAGTTGTTACAATAAAAGTTTACGTAGCTATATGGCGCTATCGAGTCGCGGCAGATTTGCTTTATAACAAGTAATATTCCAGTTATTAGATAATACAAAAAGGTAAGACCGCATGAATTATTACAATCGATCCGTATCCTTCCAAAAGGATCGAATAAAAGTCGCATAAATAAATAATATAATAATAATACAATAATAATATATAATATATAATATAATATAATATAATAATAATATATAATATAATATAATAATAATATATAATATAATATAATAATAATATATAATATAATATAATAATAATAATACAATAATAAATTGCAAAAGGGATGCTTCGAACATCAGAGTCGACTCATCGCTCTCGTCCGAATCGTTTTTATGTCGTAACAATGGCAATATTCGTAAAGCAATGAAACGATTACCAAAGTAAAAGTCAATTTGCCTCGACGGCTATATACGGGAAAATTCCACGAAAACATGAGACAATATCCTATTATAGAAAACAGGTAACGTGACCTACGCTCGCCCGTAGGCCACGATACTCTTAGACCATTCCAAGGATGATACGCAACAAAACAATTTAATATAGAATATACATAATTTTGCACTTATCTAATTATGCGCAATGACAATGCAGCTTTTTAATGTACAGTTATTATTAACATGTATAACTGTAATGTATTTTACTTATACGTATAATCACAGCGATAATAGAATCGAATGAACTACACATCAAGTATTAAGTAAATGTGTAACTGTAATCGAAATTATACCGTGTTTGTTTTTATTTTAATCAGAAATATTTGTCCAAACTATATCATGTTTAATCTCATTTTAATCAGAATACGTTAAAAAAATATGTTAAGAAAAAAAGATCAGTTTTGAAATGTTAAAATTAAACCAAGTTGTCATTGTTATATACGTCGAACCTCAGCATCGGCGGAGCGAGAAAATCGATAAATTACAGGGCCGTAGCAATATTACAGCGCGAACCTGAGGATACTAAAGTAGCACGAGTCCGGGAGAAATTACTGTAGTTACAAGATCTTTTCCATTCCTCATAACTGTTTTCGTCAAAACTGATATATGTACATATAACAGTTTGAAACAATTCTATCTGGAACCTTTCCAATCCTTGCATTTAATTATTGCATACTATTTGTCTGTATTGTTGTTAGCGACGAGGAATATTCTCTCTATTATCAACTTACAAGGAATATGTATTCTCTCTGTCATTAGTTTACCGTTCTATCATATTGGTGTTGTTTTGTGTACCTATATTGTTTATGCCCTGTCTATGATGCAACCTCAAACCTGTAAAATATTGGCTCAGTAAAACTAGACCATTTTTTACTGACCGAATCGGTAGACAGAAACAAAAGCATACATTGTATACGATGACTGTACAAATCTTGGTTGACCATAATAGTCTACAAGCAGAGATGAGTATGTATGTACAGAGATTGCTAGCGCTCGGATTTTGCTGGTTCGCCATGCGTGACTCGACGAAACTTGTCCGAGAACATGTGATACGAAGAAACTTAAGAACTTTTTCCAGCATTGAAAGGCGAATTTAACCTGCACGAAGCAAGACTTCCCTTGAATTGTTCTTCTCGGCTTTTAGTCCTGCTCGAAAATCCACCCGCGCTTTAAAGTGTTTCTGAGCACCGAAAGTCGACAGCCAATCATCTACGACCGTACCGTCGGTAACGTAAACCCTTCATTCACATCTGCTGATTTTTAGGGTACTGAAAAACCATTTCTATTCGACGATTCACCAACCAATTGGGAAAAGCTACAAGAAGAATCGACCAATCAAATGTAGGTTAAACTTAACCCTAAAAGGAAATAAGAATACTAGGCGTCGCTGACCATCGTGATTATTATTATTATTAGTTACACGCGGATCTCTTGGTAACTACACATTGGTCGCCGGACATTTTCAATCGTCGTTCAGTTATTGTAATATTGTGCGAAGGCAAAATAGAATTGATAGAAAATGTCGACAGTAGCAAGTCCTTTAGCCGTCGGAGGTGTTCGGCAATCTGGAGCACCTGTACGAACACAAAATGGTACGTTTGCACTGTGAGAAAATTTGGTTATGATATACGATAATTTAATTTTTCGGCATTTATTTTATACAAGATTTTTCTAAATAATTTCTATCAAATTTGCTTTTTCTGGATTTCAAATCATAAAAACTAATGTTATTGAATGTATACATCTATAATACAAAAATAACATGTCTGACACATGTGGCTTGAATATTTCAGATACTATTTCTCTATGAATAAAATGAATCTTACAAAGTATTATAATAAAGCAATACTCTAAACTTAATTCAATACAATTTCCTAATATATTTGTAATGAATTGATTTCTATTATATGCATATTTCTTCCTTTTATAGTAATGGCTGCTTGCACTATCGCAAATGTAGTGAAGAGTTCACTGGGTCCTGTTGGTTTGGATAAAATGCTTGTAGATGATATCGGTGTATGTAATTTAAATGACATTTTATATGGTATAAACTTTATAATGATTTTTGAATTATACCTATATTTCAAATATTATAGGATGTCACTGTTACTAATGATGGAGCAACTATTTTACGTTTGCTTGAAGTTGAACATCCGGCAGCAAGAGTATTAGTTGAATTAGCTCAGTTGCAAGATGAAGAAGTTGGAGATGGAACTACCTCAGTTGTAAGATTGTGTAAATTAATTTTGATAATTATATTTACTTGGTGACAAAATTTATTAAACAAATTTTTATACAGGTGATAGTTGCAGCTGAATTACTAAAAAATGCTGATGAACTTGTAAAGCAAAAGATTCATCCTACCTCTGTAATTAGTGGTTACAGACTTGCTTGCAAGTAAATATCTACTTTTATATAAGAGAAGGATAGACAACAGTTTTTATTAATCTATTTACTATTTATATTTCAGAGAAGCTTGCAAATATATCCAAGAACATTTAACGGTTACTGTGGATGAACTTGGACGAGACTGTCTGGTTAATGTAGCTAAAACATCTATGTCTAGCAAAATTATTGGCGCTGATGCTGATTTTTTTGGAAATATGGTTGTGGATGCTGCGAATGCGGTAAAGATTAATGATGGGAAAGGTGGATTTTTATATCCAATAAAAGCAGTGAATGTTTTAAAAGCTCATGGGAAGAGTGTTAGAGAATCTGTACTTGTACAAGGTTATGCACTTAATTGTACTGTAGCCTCCCAAGCCATGACTAAGAGAATATTAAATGCAAAGATTGCATGTTTGGACTTTTCTTTGCAAAAGACTAAGATGAAACTGGGTGTTGAAGTATTAATTACAGACCCTGAAAAACTTGAGGCAGTCCGTCAGCGTGAAACAGATATTACAAAAGAACGTATCCAAAGAATTCTTTGCGCTGGTGCCAATGTTATTCTTGTATCAGGAGGAATCGACGATCTCTGTCTAAAGGTATGTTTTGATCTTAAAAAACCAATAATGTTTAACTTAAGAATAGAATAAAATAAAACTTTTTGCAGTACTTCATCGAAGCTAAAGCAATGGCAGTCCGCAGATGTAAGAAGGCAGATCTGAAGAGAATTGCTAAAGCCACAGGTGCACAATTCCTTACTTCTCTAACTAACATGGAAGGAGACGAAAGTTTTGAATCTAGTTTTCTTGGAGAAGCTGCCGAAGTTGTTCAGGAAATGGTCTGCGATGATGAACTTATTCTTATTAAAGGGTCTGTTTCGATTTAAAATATCATTTTCATACTCAATCATTTAAAAAGTAATAGTGATAGCAATGAAATGTTTATATTATTTTTGGCAGGCCAAAAGCAAGAACAGCAAGTTCTCTCATTTTGCGTGGGCCAAACGACTACTACTGCGATGAAATGGAACGTTCTGTGCATGATGCATTATGCGTTGTTAAGCGAGTTTTAGAAAGCAAATGTGTCGTTGCAGGTGGTGGTTGCGTTGAGGCAGCTCTCTCAATATATTTAGAAAATTTTGCAACGTCTCTCGTAAGTTAATTTTATGACAGAAAATTATTACATGACAAATTTTCTTAAATTTATTTAAAATTTTTTTAGAGTTCTAGAGAACAATTAGCGATTGCTGAATTTGCGAGATCACTGTTGGTTATACCGAAGACATTGGCAGTCAATGCAGCACAGGATGCTACTGAACTTGTAGCCAAATTGCGTTCTTATCACAATTCCAGTCAAACAAAAGCAGATGTTGCAGATTTGAAATGGTATTACTTTGAATCATAATAATAATCGTAATAATGCATTTTGAAAGAATTGGCTTGATTTAATACTTTGATATAATAATATGATACTTGTACTTTCTACAGGGTTGGTCTTGACTTACTTGAGGGCACTATCAAAGATAATAGAAAAGCTGGTGTATTAGAACCAGCTATTTCGAAAATAAAATCTCTAAAATTCGCTACAGAAGCAGCAATAACTATTCTCAGAATCGATGATATGATCAAGTTGGATCCAGATCGTACTAAAGATAAATCGTATCGTGAAGCAATGGAAGCTGGTGAACTGGAAGAATAAAATTAAATTGCATTTGTATTCGTCTTTTTCATACGCTTTGTAGTGGGCGGAAATTTAAATTAGATTTTACAATAAATATCATTTCACAACTTAATAATAAGAATAAAGAACACATTACACATTAAGAATTTACATATTAATATTGTGATTTGTATTGCGTATTATGTTGCCCTTATAAATAAATCTACCGACAACAAGTGAAATAAAGCTTTTACATGTAAACAAATTTTGCTTATATTTTTGTTTATTCCTGAAAATAACACAGTATGTCAATTTAAGTTTAATTTATTAATCATTGTTGAGTTCATTATATAGTTAGCTTATAAATATTGTTTAAGTTTACAGTGCAATTATTAAACATAATTTATACACATGTTTAAATCGAAATAATTGCACTT